TTTGTTCCGAATATTTTTGAATGTTATAACAAAGTGTTGTTATAGAGAATATATATTATAACATAATATAAAAATTGGGTCCGAAAAACTTGACTTTTATAGTGAAGTGTTGTTATATACGGATATTGTTATAGAGATGTCTTCCCACATCGATGAAAGGTATAAAGATAGATTGAACCTACAAAAAAGTACATATTTATTATGGTTAATTATATTGTACATTTCATAAGGGAAAGGGGGTCTGGAGAAGCACTGAAGCAATTAACAACCGAATGATCAAGAGTAAATAAATCTAGCACTAGCAATGAAGTATATTCTGCAAAGGAACCACAAAAAGGAAAGATGACGACACTATACTTCTTTTCAGCCGTGTTCGAGATTGTGGCATGCTTCAATGCGTTTTACCTATTTCAGCTTTATCTCTAATTATATAAACATTACTTAGGGTTTTTGGACCGGATTATATTTGCAGCGATCGCTTATCCTTTTTACGACTAGAGTTGGCGTGATTAATGAACATTGAAAACGTAAGGTAATAATATAAAAATTAACTTAATAAATAAATGTATCAAAATTTAAGTTTGATTTGTGTATTGAATTTGAACTATTAAAAATTATTTGCATGAAGAAGGATCAAGGTTGATCTAAACGAAAAAAAGAGAAAGTTATTGAAACGCGCTGGCCAAACAAATCTTTGACAAGTTAGCGAGCTATCAAGGGAGAGGTTGACAAAAAACTGAACCTGCCTCCCAATTTATCTCTACGTTTTGGTCCTTAGCTTAGGTTAGGTTTCTTTGAAAAAAATTTAAGCCTATTATTCCTCAGTCTCATTATAATGACTCCTGGGTGGATGGATATGTATATGACTATAGGATTGGAAATCTGGAAGAAAATATATTTTACTGGTTCAATTATTAGGTTATGTCTCTCTGTATATAAACATATCAAGGGCCCTTTCGTCCTTGTTGTGTGTGTTTTACTTGCTATCATCAAAGTTCTGTTAGTACAAGTAGATTTTACTATTATTGGCAGAGACGGAGCAAGAGTTTGAAGTTTATGGGTTCAGTATTCTAGTTCATTTAAGTTATTAGGTTCTAAATTAATAATTTATACATATTCAATGAATTTCTTAAGACAAATATAGAATTTGGAGCAAAGTTATTGAGTGCAACTGAACCCGTAACTTCTATACTAGCTCCGCCCCTAATTGTCATAGCAATATTTTTTGTCACATCCAACTTCTTAGGTGTTGGATGACTATATTGGCAATGTCATAATCATATCCGAGGATTATCTCTAATTGCTAGAGAAAGAAGGCGTAAAACGTTGTTATCATCGTTATATGGACTAACTATACATTTCTTTCCTTGAAAAGAAGAGGATATTCATAATTAACTTTCAAAACCCACTCCTGCATCTCCATTTGTATTATATGAGTGCTATATTTTGAATCAATGTCTTCGTCAAGGAAATATATACCTCTTTGCTGGCATGTTTTATAGTACCGAGAAGAAGAAAAAAAGATAGCGATGCTCGCAGTTTTATTCAATTACAGGTTTTAGCATCATAAACTAAATCCAAACATGTTCAAGATGTCTGTAAAAGATTTAGGTGAAGCGGATTAACCCCAAAAGAAAAAGGAAAAAAAAAAAGTACAATACGAAGGAATAAGAAGTTAAATTGAGCCAATAAATGGGAATTCCAAAAAAATCTCGTCATACAAATTATAAGCATTATTTTGACCAAGGAATATGTATTAAATGGATCAGTTAGTGAATTATACAATAATACAAATAGGTCTTTCCCAAGGAATGCCTAATCAGAAATATCATATAGTATCACTTAATATGTACATCTTCGCTTCCTTTTTTGATAGCTGAGTCATGTTCCTCTTTGCCTATTTTCAGTAAATGGAGACTGTAATAGGAAGCTTTACAACTACGTGGTAGGGTACAGCTTTCTCTTCTTTCCTCATCGTTCTATTTCTTTTCTTTTATTTTCAATGGGAAAGCTAAAATATAAAGCTTAAATCATTTCAAGTTACCATAATTCTTTCTATAATGTTGTTAGGGTTAATACTATTTTATCAAATAACTTATTATTTTCCTATACCAAACCCAGTTTCTTTTCTTTATTGAAATTTGAACCCTAATTTCAAGTTAAGATATGAGAGAGTGGGGTTGTATTGCTTTGTTAAGCACTGTACTGTAGATAGATTGAACCTACAAAAGTATATTATTATGGTAATTGCTTCCCCACATTACATTACATCAGGTAAATGGGGGTCTCGATAAGCACTTAATTAACAACCAAATAATCAAGAATAAAGAGATCTAGCACTAGAACAACTTGCAGTAATATATTCTGGAAAAGAATCACATAAAAAGGTGCTAGATCATGAAACCTCATTTCTCCTGGGCTCTCCAAAATTTTCTACTACTTCTTTTCATTGTGTTTTCGGGATTGCGGGTTGTTTCAAATGCATATTATATTTCAACTTTGTAGCTAAGACATTAGTATCAAAATGTTAACAAATTAAAATCGACAATATCACTTATCAATAAGCACGAAAAACTTATAGTAGTACTATAAAGATTGGCCTGCCTCCCAATTATCAAGAGCAGTACAAATACGTAGAAGAAGAAAGAAATGAATTTGAGCTAAGTGAGCTACTATGTTACAGCATTAAACACAAATCCAAAACCGTGGTTGAAAAAAGTAAAAATATGAAAAAGAAAAGAAGCACTAAATAAGAAGTCTAAAGAGAACTACATCGTGAATTGCAGTTTTTTTAGGAAAAAAGAAAGATTGTGAATTGCAGTTTAAAAAATGGATCCTTCCTTCAGTATTTGTTGGGTGACATCTGATCCAATTTAAAAGGCCCAGTTTACGCATACCACATTTCGGGCCTGATGACCAGAATCCTTGTAAAAATGACACCAAATAGTCACTCTAAGGGGCTGCTATTTGAAAGGGATCTTTACACAAATAGCCGGGTACGTTAATTGTTTACTTTTTCTCGCCACATATATTAGGGGTGGGCATATATCGGGTAAAACCGATAACCTGAACCGTTAATTATTTATTGGGTTATTGGTATTGGATTATTGGGTTAACGGTTCAGTAACGAGTTAAAAATAAATTTTATTTGGTTATCGGTTCGGGCTCGATTTTGCAATTCTTATTTAATTTACTAGTTTACCCTTAAGTATATACATACTAGGGTTTCATAATTCATAGTTCACTCTTTGATTTTCTTATTCTTTCTCAGTTTCTCCGCCTCACGCCCTCACCAGTCAGCCCGTCAAGACTCAGGCCGGCGTCAGTCGCATCACGCCCTCACCAGTCAGCCTGTCAAGACTCAGGCCGGCGTCAGTCGCATTTTTCAGCTTCTTTCTTTCACTCTTCAGTCGCATCTTCACTTCATTTCTCAGATCCATCAGATTCTTCAGTCGCATCTTCGCTTCACTCTTCAGCCGCACTCTTCAGTCGCATTTCTCAGACAAGAGGGGTTGCTCTGATGGTAAGCAACCCCCACTTCCAACCGAGAGGTTGTGAGTTCGAGTCTCCCCAAGAGCAAAGGTGGGAAGTTCTTGGAGGGAAGGATGTCGGGGGTCTATTTGGAAACAGCCTCTCTACCCTAGGGTTGGGGTAAGGTCTGCGTACACACTACCCTCCCCAGACCCCACTAAGTGGGATTATACTGGGTTGTTGTTGTTGTTGTTGTATTCTTCAGCTTCATCTTGATTCTTCGTGTAAGTTTTTAGTTGCTTCATCTTCATCTTTTTCTTAGTTTGTTTGAAAGCATTCTGGCTCTGGATTTTTCTTAGTTTGTTTGAAAGATGAAGTGAGATTTGTTGTGTGCTTTAATTGTTGAGCTGTTACGAAGTTATCTTGTGTCAGTTGTTATAAAATTTGTATTTCATAACTAATAAACTTGTATTTGTTATTCATTTAGACAGAGGCGAATGCACCATGGTAGTTACGGGTTCAATTGAACCCATAACTTTTAACGCAGAGTAGAAATTTATGTGTAAAATTTTTTTAAAATTATAAAAATAATAGATTTGAACCCATAACTTTAAAAATATAATAGATTCAATATTAAAAATCTTAAAAGTTGAACCCATAGAATTTAAATCCTAAATCCGCCTCTGCATTTAGATCCCTTGTATTTGCAGAAAGTACTGTCGAAGTGAAAATATGACTGATATTCTGTTTTTTCATCACTGACTGATATTGGGATTTTTGTTTATATTTTTTGGGTTGAAGAATAAAAGATAGAAACTTTGGTGAGTGTTTATTTTGTTGGATGTTGCAGTAAATTTAAATTCTTGTGAAATAGAACAGTTCTGAAAAGAGTTTTAACAAAACAGTTTTAGCAAAGCAGTTCTTAAAATCTTATAAAATTGTTTTAGCAAAAAAGTTTTATACCAAAGTTGTTTTATACATTGCGAAACTCAATGAAACTGTTTTAGTTGTTTTATCTTATCGGGTAAACCGATAAATGAACCGATAATAACTCATTAACCGATAACCAATATCTTATCGGTTTGGTTATCGGGTTATGATATTTATAAACCTATAACCGATAGGCAAAACCAATAATATTCATAACCGAACCGACCGATACCCACCCTTAATATNTCTGATTTATAGTCTACCTGAGTCTCTTAGTAAAGAGTTGTAAACAGCTTCGTTATTCTAAGGGTAATTGCATTGTAGCAATATATACAAAAGATCTTTTACGTACAATATCACTTTAGTTATAATTGCACATAGTGGAGTTCAAAAACTAAACATGTATTCTAAGATTAATGCAATTAAGCTCCACCTATTTCAAAACATCTTTTATTTGAAATCGCAAATACATATGACGAAAATCTTTGAGGATGAAAAGAGTTGAACTTTCCTCAGTACCAACAAATATAATTGCAAATCCGACTTCAAACAACCAAAGAGAATACAATTAGCATGTTTGAAAAATGTGGAAGACAACATAATTGTGAAGTTGAAATAAAGCTTAGACTGAAAAAGAAACCAAAATATTAACATAGACAAGTCACGTTGTTGCTATAAAAACAAATCACACTACGAATATTGTACAACAAACTGGATGGACCAAAACTGCTACTATCACATAAAACATATTGAAGTCTACCATCTTTATGCTCTTTAAAGGCATTGTTCCCACACGAATTATCTGTTGCAACAACCTCTTGTTCGGAATTTTAGCTGCAACATCATTTAAGAATATTAAAACATCATCAAATATATATATCAAAATACGACTTGTACACATTATTAACCAATAAGAACCGTACTGCACTAAATCACCTTTACAATTTGAAATTCAGATTGTCACACAACAAAGTAATCAAAATACGGCTTAGAAGCATCACATTATTAACTATTGGAACTGTCTGCAGCCCCATAGCACCAAACATTTGAAATTAGAACTACAACAGCATTAATTAATATTAAAGTATCAGGATATTTTAAAAATAATGGGTAAGCATATGCTATTAACCATGGAAACTATCAACACTACATCACCTTCACATTTGGACTTCTAGACATACGAAAGCAGTCTAATACACTTGGCCAAAGAGCACCATTACTGTCTCCGAAAAGTTCTCTTTTAAAAGTTAAAACATCTTTAATGCTGCATGCAGGACTATGCATAGATAGCAACTCCCTACATATTAGACCATATTGCATTTCAAAATCTTTAATATCAGAATTGCCAAACACCTATAAGAACAAAAGCAATATCTTCAATAGATGCAAAACAATTGCAAATACTATCATTCGACAACCAAAGACATTCATAATGTAATTATACCAAAATTCTATTTTAACCAATCTCCAGCATTAGAGATACCACATATTTTTTCTTTTCAACACCCTTGAGGTATCAATTTCTATACCAAAACAAAATAAAAAGAAGAAATAAAGACCACGGGTTTAAAGGAAAAAAGAAGAAGCAAGAACAGAGAATGATATTCACTTACTCTTCTTGATTTTTGTTTGTCGATATTCCTGTTCCAAGTCTTTTTAGTTTTGTTTAAACAAAATTTATATTTTGGTTTAATTCTGAAAAATTATACCTTCTATACAATTTTTCTTGATAAACACCAAATTAGGTGGTTAATATAAAACTACAATTGAATCAGATACAAACGAACAATACATGTTTCAATAAATTTCTTGAATACAAGCATAAATAATAGGTATCAGATTAGTACATATCACAAGATATTCTCAACCAAGAACAAATATTAAAGAACTAAGAAGAAGATTATTTTTTCGCAAAATTGAATTTAGAAGCAAAGCCAAACAATATTTTAACTTTGTTTAACCTTTGTTGTCATTCAAGACATTTGCTTTTGAGCTCTTCTGCTTATAGTGTCTTATGCTACTGTTACTCCATTTAGAATGACATATGCTCCCTAAAGCTTTAAGGTTTCATCTGCTCGAATTTAGATGGCATTATCACTTCATATATCCTGGAGAAGTAAGTGGCGCATATAGTGAAACCTTAGGTTAAAAATGTAAAAACACAACTTTTTCATGGTTTTTCTTAACACTTCTCAAGTTTTCAACTTTTGACCATCAACCATATATTCTATTATACATATAATGTTTCAATTTTGAAGTGATCTTACAATAAAAGAGGAGCAACTGATTTTGTTCTTCACAAGGTGCAAATAAGAAGTAATTAATCTTCCTTCTTCTCGTTTACGTTAATCGACTAACCACTTCACCATCATTGGATCACACTTAAGTCTATCAAAAGAAGTTCATGCGAAGAAATTGCTAGAGTAATATCTTCTTTTTTCAATACTCTTGTTCCAAAAAGTTTATAACTTTGTTAAATTATATTTACAATTTGGTTAATTTTGAGAAACTTTAAATTAATTTCTATGCTTATTTGGAAAGGCAAATTTTGATAAACATCGGTAATTTTTATTAGAGGTAGACAGAGGTAATTGTAGTAGAAATACACATAACTCACAAACAAAGAACACAATAGTAATGTAGAAATGAAAGTCCCAAAATTGAACAGCGGAAATAAGAAATTAAGTTTGACTGCCCAAAAGCAAGATTTGTATGCACCAGATATTCAAATTTTTGCATGCATCTGCAAATTAAACAAAGTATGTAGAAAATTCAATAAAAATAAAAAACCTAACAAAAAGTAGAAGACCTAGTAGAACTCCACCAGCACGCATAAGAGACATCAACAAACTCCAACAGAAAAGGAAGACAGAGAAAGTTGAGAATCACCCAAAGTGAGTAGACGATCTCCGAAGGAAAAAGAAAATGGCAGAAATTTTTTTATCTCTGAAGCTGAAGCTGAAGCAGGAGACTGAAACCATATGAAACGCTGATTTTGAATTTTGAGAGTTACTGAAACCAAAAAGATAAAAGTGTTTCCCATGTGAAGTGGTACACGTGTTTACTGGGAAAAGTTTGTTGTACACGTGTTAAGGAGGAAAAAGGTAAATAAGCCAAATACTAATAAAATAAGTTCGAGTTCACTGTGCAATTCAGAAAACTTTTTGTACAATTCGTTGATGCTGTGTTCGTCCATTTTAGCCGCTTATATATTATAGAAATACATTGATTATATACAATTATACACATGTAGTACATATATTATACAGTCATTAGCTATTTTTAATTTAAGTGGTAGGGTGAACGGCTATTTGGGTTAGTTCTTCTTTAAAATTAGCAAGTGCGTCCTAGATATCGGGGCTGATAACCAGAATCCTTGTAAAAATGACACCAGATAGTTACTCTAAAGGCTACTATTTAAAAATTGGCAAGTGCGTCCTAGATTTTAGTTTTTTAGCTCAAGTTTTCAAGACAAAAATATCATTGATCCTGAAGTTAAGATTTTTAGTTTAATTTTCACGATAAAAATAAGTACTGGCTAATCCCTAATAACATCCGTGAGAATGGCTATATGTGCACTTGCCCCAGAATCCTTGGACATAGACTGTTAATAAAGAAGGAATCTTTACCCAAAGAGCCGACCAGATTCACTACTTTACTTTTCTTAGTCGGAATACATAGATTATACATTAATTATATATGAACATACACATATTATACATAAACTAAATATATTTTATATATATATACGATATTGTTAGTTTAATTTGGATGGATAACTATTAAGGTTAATTCTTCAATAAAAAATTGAAACCCTTGTTTTTTTTTATTTAATCAAACGGCTACTGAAGAAAATTTCCTGAAAATAGCACAGTATTAAAGCATTTTTTTTTTGGTAAGTACAGATATGTACAGCTCAAATAAAGAGAAAAAAAATTAGAAGCTGGGCAAATAGTCCCAGTTTCCAGCATAGCAACTAATGTCAACTAGGCTACTCTTAACAATACAGGCTCATGGATAAAAATTAAGACTTTGCAGCTTCCTTGCCAGTCTTGGCCTCTTACTCCCCCGGAAGATCACGTCCTGGACAATCAATTTGGTGATGATATCAGCAGGCCTTTAATTGCTCGTGAATACTCTTTGATTTCTTTCTTGCCAGACATAGTAGATCCTTCCAGCTAACACCATTCTAAACACCTCTGCGGTAGAGCTCTTCCCAAGAAAGTGAGTTATAGCCCAATTCCTCTCATCATTCCATCCCATTGCTTGTCTAGAGATTTCCTGCCAGTGTAACATTTTGTGTCATATCTCAGCTGCCATCCCACATTTGAAGAACAAATGGTCTATACTTTCTTCCTCTAAGTTACACAAAGGGCTTAGCTGGTTGGACAGTAGACCCCATTTTTCCAATTTGTCCCTTGTGTATAATTTCTCATGAGCAACCAATCTAAGTGTGAATATCTATTTAGGTGCACCGTCGTTATTACAAACTAGTCTTTTTCAAGGTACCTTAGGATACTCACCCCTCAATTTGTGGTATATCTGCTTGGCAGAAAATTGGTTCATACTCAGTAACTCGCTCATTGATAGGCCTGTCTGTGTTACATATTTGCTTGCATTAAAAAATTTCTTTAATAGCCATGAAGCTTGGTTGCAGGTAGTCTCCCAGATAGGAGTCTTTTCTGGTAATAAGCATGTACCCACTACCCACAATATTCATAACTTGTCTTTTTTCTTGCACAAGCTCCAAAAATGTTTACAAATGGCCGCCTTGTTCCATACCTTTATATCAGTAAAGTTTTCACCATCTGCTGACTTTGGTTGGCATAAAGTATCCCAAGAAATGAGAGCTTTGTTAGAGCCTTCTGTTTCTCTAGTCCAAAGGAACTTCCCGCAAGTTGCAACAATCTGCTTGTAGATTTTCTTGGGGAGAACAAATACCTGAGACCAAAAGGTTTGGATGGAAAATAATACGCTTTTGATTAATTGCACTCTAGCAACATAGGAGAGAAACTTTGTAGTCCAACATGTTATTCTGCCTATCGTCTTGTCCAATAGAGGTTGCCATTGAATGATAGATAATCTCTTAGAGCTTAAGGGCACTCCAAGGTATCTAAACGGAAGTTCACCCTTTGAGAATCCCAGTATTTCTAAAATCTGTTGTTGTATTATAAGGTTCACACCACCAAAGTAGATTGAACTCTTGGTCAGATTAGCACATAGGCCAGATGCCGCTGAGAATTCTTGGAAGCAGTTCACCAATAGCTGTATAGGCCTTATGTCATCTTTAGAAAATAACAAGAGATCATCACTAAAACTTAGTTGGATAATCTTGGATTTGGCACACTTTGGGTGATATTTAAACATCGGACTCCTGGCCATCCTTTTTAGTAGTCTACTGAAGTATTCCATCCCCAGTACAAACAAATACGGAGACATTGGGCCACCTTGTCTTAACCCCTTCTTTGCCATGAATGGTTTCCTCGGGTTGCCATTTATAGTGATTGAGTATGATACTGTCTTCAGACATACCACGACCCATTTGATAAATTTGGTAGGAAACTGCAACCCAGATAAAGTTGTTCAATAAATGGCCATTCAACAGTTATATGCTTTTTGCATATCAATTTTGAGCATGCATCTAGGAGAAATGTTTTTCCTACTGTACCATTTTACTAGCTCATGGCTTAGTATGATATTGTCCGTTATAACTCTTCCTGGCACGAAAGCAGCTTGACTACAATCTACTAACTTGTCCATAACCCCTTGCATCTTTCTGATTTTGGATATAATCTTGTATAGAACTGTGCAACAGGAAATAGGCCTGGACTCTCTCACTGTTAATGGATTTTTAACTTTTGGTATCAATGTTACTGTTGTGCAATTTATAGATTCATACAGTATTGCTGTGTCAAAGAATTCTATCACGACAGAAGTAATTTCATCACCTACAATGTCCCAGGTTTTCTTGAAAAATGGGAGTTAAACCCATCAAACCCTGATGTTTTTTGATCATCTATATCCCTCATGACATTGTACACTTCCTCTTTAGACACTTGTGCAATCAACTGCAGTTGCTGAACTATGTTTAGTTTATGTCCATCTTCCAGGATGTTTTCTTATATGACAGGTAGCATGCTGGCTGCTGAACCTAGCAGACTTTGATAGAAGTTGTTGAACTCTTCCATGACTTCACTCTCAACAAATATGCAGTATTAGATTCGCCTAATTGCATCCATTGCACCATGAACTTTTGCTTCATGATACTCTCTTCTACCATCACCCATTTCTCTAGTTGGTTTTTCAGTTCTTTCTCTTGTTCAAAGAGGTTATTCTAATTACTCGGTCTCATCATTTATGCTTGCAACACTACTAGAAAACTGCGTAAAATCGTCCAAAAATACCGATCGAAATCGATTGGAATCTAAAAAAATCGATCGGTTTCCGACCGACTTTAATCGGTCAAAAATATGTTGGTCGGTAAAAAATAGCACCCGAAGTCGGTCGTAATTTTTGACCGATTTCGGTCGGTAAATTAATTTTCACAAACGAACCAAAAAGAAAAAATTTGCCGAGTATTTTCGGACCGAATTCAGTTGGTATTTTTAATTATGCAGTTAAAAAACATACCGTCTGGGACTCGAACCAGGGTCTGTAATGTGGCATGATACTATTCTACCACTCGACTATTGATACATTTTGGTTTAAGATTTTCTTTTGATTTATTTGTACTCCTTAATTTCATTTTCGCGCGAAAATAACCGACCGATTTCGGTCAGTTTTATTAAAAATATAAAATTATCGATCGAAGTCGGTCGATTTTTTAAAATGACAGACTGAAATAACCGACCTATTTCGGTCGATTTTTTGAATATTAGTTTTAATTTATTTTATATGAAAAATCGACCGATTTCGGTATCTTAAAAAATAAATTTCGCGGGATTCTAAATAGTTTCTCGTATTTTTGCGGTTGATTTCTTAAAAAAAAATTAAAAATAAAATATTTTGGAAAACTGACAGATTTTGGTCGGTTTTTCGGTCGGTTTTTTTACCGATCGAAGTTGGTCGGTTTTGACCGAATTTCTAGTAGTGCAAGTCTGGTAGGCGCTTCCTTGTTTGTTTGACTTTTTCATCCACTTTCAGCAACTCTTTGGTATTTAATCCCTTAAGCACATGCTTAACCCTCTTCAATTTATGCCACACCCTTTGCATCCCTGGACTTTGGATTGGCTTATTCCATTCAACAGATACTAGTGATAGGAAATCAGGATGCTTAGCCAAGTGATTAAAACATCTGAATGGTCTTGCACCACCTTTAGGGTACCCTTCAAATTCAACTGATGTTAGTATTATAATAACGTTAAGAATGTTATTCTATTAATAAGATAAGATAAAAGATTCCCTTGCATTCATGGAAATGGGGGCAATAATCGATACAAAAGAGTATCACGCCTCCTTTTTTTTTAAAGGATATGAGAGTTTTTTTAATTAAAGTGATATCAATCGAAATGGAATTTTTTATTTAATTTAGAGTAGCCACTTGGAATAATTTTAGGGAAAATTTCATATTAAAATAATTGGGCTGCCTCCTTTTTAACTTTATAGCCCATATTTTAATTTACAATTGAATAGCCCAAAAATTAGAGGCCCATATCCGAAAAAGGGGCGTTATTTCCGTTTTTGGGGAGTAAGAAGCGGGATTTTCTTTGTTTCAGCTGGATTTTCTCTGATTCTTTCCAATCTTCTTCCCCAAATACTACAAAAACGAGATCTTGCGATCAATGGAGCTCCAAACACCCTAGAATTTCTTTTTCATCTCACATTTCTTCAATTTTTTTGCTACAAATCAGCGCAATTCTCATTTTTTTCCTGCAATTTTGATTTCAATTTTTTGTTCGATGGAGCTTTTTTCAGTTTACGTTCTTCATAGTGGTGAATGGGAAGAAAACAAGTTTATCAATTTCGTCAACGATTGTGTAATA